GGCCCCGCCCCTTCAGGACCTGCCCCAAACTGTCCTCGGCCAAGCCTGGTCACCCACTCCCAAGTCTGGGCCCGGCAAGAATCAGGTGGGGGTGGGGTAGGGGCAGCGTTTTGGATTCGCAGCGGTTGACTGGAGGGACCTCTGGAGGGCCGGACACTCAGCCCCACTCTGGCCTCTTGAGGGTGGGACCCACCTTCCCCTGCAGCCTGAGACCCTGAACTGGGGCTGAGATCCTATTGTCCTTTAATCTCCTAGGAGATTGGCAGAGTGGGCTGGGAGCTCCCCAAGGTGCAGAGGCTAGGGTGAAGGCCGGAGGGTGGTCTTGCGAGTTGCAGGAAAAGATGCCTAAGTGGGGTGGGGCCCAGGAGGACGTGGCCAGGGAGAACAGCTGGGCCACCCCACCCTCCTGGACACCCTTGTGTGAATTAGGAAAGGGCACCCTTCTGGGCCGCTTCCGGTCCCTCAGCCAGGCAGGCACTTGGGGCAGTGGGTGGCAGACCACTGTCAGCCCTCAAGGAAGTGCAGTGAGGCCAGGAGACCCCATCTCCCCTCCCCCCTCACCTCTGTGAGCCTCAGGGTTCACAGGATCCACTGCTCTGCCCAGGCCGAACTCAGGAAGCAAGCCCCCAGGCCCTGAAGGCCTTTCAGGACTTCTACCCGACTGTGGGGCTCCCCGACGACATGATGGTTATGCTGCCCAAGTCAGGTATCCCCAAGAACCCCACTCAGCTAAGCCCCACTCCATCCAGCCTCCACCCCTGGCCAGGCCCCACCCCACCAAGTGCCACCTCCAGCCCCCCTGCCTGTTTCTTGGAGGGTGCAGATAGGAGGTGGTCTTTTCTGAGGGTAGGCTGGCAGCTTCTGCGGCCACTCCTGCCCACAGCCTTTTCCCCCCACCACACACCAAGGGAGAGGTTTTGGGGAGCCGGGAGGGAAAGTCTTTTGGTCCCACCCTCTGGGGGTGGCCGTGGCAAGCCTCCGGGCACCCAGGGGCTGGGGGCTGCAGAATGGGGTGGCCAAGGGTGGCCAGCTCAGCCTCCCAGGAACTGTCTTTCTTCCCACAGATGCGTGCTCCTCGGGGGATAAGGAGGCACCCTGACACCTCTGGAGACCCACCTTGACCCTTCCCAGGTGGGGGAGGGGGTAACTTCTCCCTGCCTTTCAGCAGGGCCTGCCCGGGCTGCCCCTGTGGCCTTCTCACTGTGCCTCCTGCGCTCCCACCAAAGATTCACCAACCCCTGTTCTGCCTGGTTTGTGTGCTTCAGGCGTCAGCTTACACGTCACCGCTTCCAGGAAGCCTCCCCTGATTCCCCAGCACGGCCGTAACACATTGCCACAAGCTGGATAGCTTAAAAAACAGACATGTGCTCCCCCACAGTTCTGGAGGCTACAGGTCCAAAGTCAGGGTCTGGGCAGGGCTGGTTCCTTCTGGGGGCTCTAGAGGAGGCTCCTTGCCTCTCCAGCTTCTGGTGGTGCCGGCCATCCTCGGTGTCCTTTGGCTTGCGGATGCATCACTCCCATCTCTGCCTCCATTGTCACACGGCCGTCTCCCCTCTGTGTGTCTGTGCCCAAATTTCCCTCTTCTTATAAGGACACATCATTGGATGGAGGGCCCACCCTAATCCAGGGGGAGGTCCTCAACTAATTACTTCTGAAAGACACTATGTCCAAATAAGATCCCACTCAGAGTTCTAGGTGGACTTGAAGTTTGGGGGACCCTGTCCAACCTAGTACTTTCTGTGTCCCCATTCCCCCTGGCTCACCCCTGGTGCACGGGGCCCTTCCTTGGGATGGCCGGGGTCCTCCTCCTCTCCCTGAGTGTCCCATGAGGTGGGAACCATCACCTTCTGTCGTCAGAGGGCTGGGCTCCCTGGAGCCTTTGGGACATAGATGCAGGTGGGTTCTTGGGGACACCTTCCCCCAATGTAGACACCAGGAAATCATAGGGCCCCTTACCCAAGTTCATTGCAAAGAATTTGAGAACCTACATAAAACAATAACTAACAGGTAAGGCATGACTGTCACCAGTGACAGGAGGCGAACCTGAGGCCTCCGTTGACGTTTGCCTGGTGGAGACGTCCTCATTACGCTGCAGCTGGCGTGCCCTGCGTCCCTCCAGTGGCGCTGGGGACATATGGACTGTTTTAACTTTTCATGGGTCTAAATGACACCGCCCAGCATGCTGGCTCTGTCTCTCATCACACGTGTGGTTGTTTCAGAAATGTTACTGGGCGGGAGGAGAGGGGGGCAGGGAACGGAGCCAAATTCCCCTCTGGAAGGTTCCACAGAGGGTGTGAGCCCTGACTTCCTGCTCTGGGCCCCACCCGCCGATTATCTTAAAGAGGAAAAGCAGCTTTTGGGGTACAGTGCCTCCTGTGGACCACCTCTCGGGGGCTGTGGGCTTGGCTGTGGTTTAGGGGCCGTTCTGGGGCTTTCTTCCAACACCAGCCCCTCACTGCCAGCCGGCGAGTGAGGCACTGGGAGCTGTGGCTGGGTCAGCCTGGGACCTCCGGGAGCAGTGGTAGAGTGGCGGGTGTTTCCACATTTGCAGAAGTTTTGGTGGCAGAATTAGCTCACAAGGGCCTCATGGGTGACATGTGAACTGGGGTTGTGGGGGGATGCTCTGCTGTGTGTTCGGGGCAGCTGGGGGCATCTGAGGAGTGTTTGCTGAGTGAGTGGGTGGATGGAGTGACCGTGCCTTTCCTGTCTGTGCAGGGCAAGCGGGAGCAGCCGGCCTCATCACCCCGAGTCGTCCAGACCTGGCCCGCCCTTTTCGCCAAGCCGTGGATCACCCTCTCCTATCTGCCCATCCCCCATCCTAGTGGGGTGTCTCCCTCGGCCTCCCCCTTCCACTCAATAAACAGATTCTGCAGGCTCAAGTCTCCTCATCTCTTTGGAGAGGCCCTCAGGGAGGGCACAGTGGACTCCGTCTCAACCCAGGGCTTCTGGGGAAACTGAGGCAGGGAGATGGTGGCGAAGGGGACTCTGGCTTCTTGGCTCCGCCTGGCTGAGGGACAGGAAGCTCCAGGCAAGCTCGGCCTCTGTGGGGGGCTGCACCCCCACACAGCACCTAGCAGCCGCTGACCCGGCCCCCGTGGTTCCCAGCACCTGTGGGGAAACGGAGGCCCCCTGTGGCGGCCAGCCTGCTGCTGGGGCTCTGCTGGCTGCAGGAGCTGGAGGCAGACCGGCACGGGGCTCTGGGGTTTCCCCTCCTGCCAGGGTGTGACCTGGACCGTGCGCACACGTGTAAACCTCGGAGGCCGGGAAATGCGTTGTGCTTGTGGCCAGTGTACTCCGAGCCCTCGCCCGCCGGCCGGGTCCGAATGCCCCACACTGGATCCCTGGACACACACAGTGAGCTTGTTATGCTCCTTGCTTTGCAGATCAGGGAACTGAGGCACAAAGAAGTCAGCGACTAGTCCAGCAAAGGGCCAGGTGTGGTTCAGACCCAGTGGTCAGGCTCCAGGGCCTGGGCTCTATGCTGACCCTTGATGAGAGGTAAGGGCAGCAGATCCCTCCGTGGGGGCCCACTGCCACCGCCACTCTCGTCCCTGACACTGTGCCCAGAGATCCTCCTACTAGGAGCGCTGTAAGTCCAGCTCTGCCCGCCACACACACTTTAAAGGGCAGGCTTGAGGGGGCGGGCAGGAAGGCACTGGCGGTCCTGCTTCATTGCTTGTGGCACTCTGCAGCCCCCGCAGGGTTGGAGCCGGAAGCACTCAGGCCTGAGGGGCATCTGTCCTCATCCTGCTGCTGGTCACCCAGAGACAACGGGTGTCCCTCATGTTTTCTGTCCCCCCCTCTCCTGCCTGACCAAGCCTATCCCTGGGGGCCCTGGCCTGTCAGCTTGGGCTGGGATCGGCCCAGTTCTAGGGTCAGCCTGGCACGGGGGCCAGAAAGTCTTCAGCCCCCTCAGGCTCCTGCTCCGACCCCCACTCCTGCTTTTTGGATGGTCCCTCTTGGTCTCCAGTGTGCCAGCCAGCTCTGTGCCACCCTATCCTAGCTTGTGGCCCCCACGCCTGCCTGAACCCAACCCGAAAGCCTTTGTCGGAGGACAGTGCCATATCCAGGATCCGAGGTGGCCGGTCCCCTGGTGAGTGGGACGTCCCATTAGCCTGGAGCCTTTCCAGGTTGGGCTTTTCCAGACGAAAGACTGGAAGGCTGCCCCCTGCTGGCCAAGGACCAAGGATGCCATCAGGGTAGGAGCTGCTTTTGGGCACCTGCAGACCCCCTTGGCCATATGGCACTGCCTCTGTGCTTTGTCACCACCACAGATAGGGAAACGGAGGCAGAGTGACTTGTCCTGGGTCACAGCTGGAAGGGGCAGGCTGGTGCCTAGGAAGCCTGAGTCATCTTCACCCTGACAGGTTTCTCGTCTGGTCTGAGGTCCGTGGGTGGTGGGGGGCCTTGGCACTGGGGGGGAAGAGGTGGTCGCTAACGTTCACAGCCCCCTTCAGATCCTGGCTGTGTGCTCACCGGCCTCGGAGCGTGAGCAGGACAGGGCGTCTCTGAGCAGCCGTCTGGGCTGGGGGTCCCACCTTGTGTGCACGTGGGGCCCGAGTGAGTCACGTAGGACGCTCTGCACGGGTCTGGCATGGGGTGAGGCTGGTTATTATCACGTTGTGAGAGGACGCAAAGCACTGGAAGGACAAACAACAGCTGGTGACTCCCTGCAGGCCGGGCTCGACCCCCAACTCTGTCTCCCATGGGCCCCCCACCCACCCACCAGGCCTCGGAGCCTGTGCCAGGCTTCCCCCTCTGCACGGATAGTCCACCGTGGAGACCTCCCAGGCAGAGGAACCCCTCACTCATTTCCCCCACCTGGAGGGCAGGACCCCCGCTCAGCTCTGTGCTGCCACAGGCAGCACCACACCCAGCCTTTGGAGCATTTGTCCCAAGACTCCTCCAAAAAAGCCTGGAAACCTTGTGCTTGTGGGAGGTGTCTGGGGTGCGTGCAGGACACTCTGAGCCTGTGGGGCCTCGGCTGGTGCACCCATCCTGTCAGCCCCTGCGTGGCTTGGGGATGGGGTCCTGTGGTGCCCCTGGAGGCATAGAGGACTCCTCCTGCTCTCAGGCCCCGAGGCGGGCCCCTGTGAAGCAGCCACAGTCATCCCCAGGCTGCTCTAGTCCAGGCCAGCCCCACCCCCATGGCCGTGGATGCCACAGGGCTGCATGGCTCTTCTGCGGAAGAGCCGAGTTTCTCCAAGCAGTCCTTGGCCAAGTCCGCCCGGTGACATTCTCAGGTGATTGCGTAACACTGGCCGTCCCTCCAGGTATAAATCCAGGTGCCCGGCAGCAGAGGCACTTTGTGCACTGACGTGCGATGGAGGCCAGGCTGTTGAGCGCCATCCTGGGCGTCGTCCTGGTGCAGGTGCAGACAGCCGCGCGGGACCTGGACCTGCAGAAGGTGGCTTCTCTTCTGTGCCTTGGGGAGCTGGGCAGGGGGCCTGAGTGGCCAGCTACACCAGTCCCTGTCACTCCAACCCCCAGTGATGCAGAAGCAGCGACCTCGGGGGCCTCAGGACCAGCAGGGTCGGCCCCTGCAGGCAGGCAGCTAAGGGTCTGAGCCCAGCCTGCCTGGTCCCTCCTCTCCTTGAGAGGCGGCACCGAGAGACGGGCAGGGACAGAGACCTCCCCGAGGGTCTCCTGTGGGCAAGCCTGTGTCCTCAGCCAGGCGGGCTGGTCCTCAGGGGTCTCCAGGGTCCGGGGCTCAGTGTGGCCACCTCCTGCTCCCGGGTCGGTGGGGTCCCTCCTGCTCACTGTCGGCACCAAGGAGGCCTGGCCCCACTGCAGAGGGCGGCTGGGGCTTTGCTTCCCGTCTTGATGGTTCCGTCTTTGCTGGGTCTGTGTTGGTTGCCGGGCCAGGACAACATCAGCGGGCTTGGAGATGACAAGGGTTGGGGACACAGGTTTTTTTTTTTCTTTCAAAAATGATCAGTTTCCAGGAGTTTCAGATGGAAGTTCTAGCACCTGGGTGGATTTCTGAAGGCAAGAGCTCCCTCCTGCGGGGAGCTCAGGCAGAGCTGCGCCTCTTCCATGGCGGACAGGGCTGCTGGCTGCTGGTGGCCCCAGTCCAGCCACCTGACCCCGGGCTTTTATCACAATTGGCGCTGCCCAGCCCTTCTCTCACGGGCTCTCCCCACCACTGTCTTCTGGCACCCTCCACCCAAGGCAGGCAGCAGCAGAGGCCGTTCTCCTGGGGGCCATGCCTGAGTGGGGAGGGGTTCACCACATTGGCATCGCTGTCTGGTGGCCTGAAAAGACCCCTTGGAAGGATGACCACCTGCTGCTGTCCCACTGACCCTTGCAGCTGTCCGCTAATCCTTTGGAGCCTGCCAGCTCCCTACCCTGGGAGGTCCTGGGGGGTGTGCCCCCTGGAGCCTGGGCACAGGATCTCCGCCCAGCTGCCCCAGCCAGGCTCGACTCCAGCTCCTCTCTCCAGATTACAGGATTCTGGCGGGAAGTAGGAGTAGCCTCCAACCAAAACCTGGCACTAAAGACCCCGAAGAGGCTGGAGGCCTTGTTCCTGACCTGGAGTGGGGACCAGCTGACCGTGAAGGCTGCGTATAGCAGGCAAGGCGTCTGGGGCTCCCAGGAGCTTGGGTGGGAGCAGCCTGTGGCCAGGTGCCTGGGAGCAGCCTGGCTGCACCACCTGCGGCTGTGGGATCTGGACGGTGTTGTCACTTGGTGGACCAACCCTCGCTTTGTAAACTGCCCCAGACCTTCCCCTCACCCCCACCCCAACTGAGACCAGACCCCCAGGCTCCTAGAGCCGCCAGACATAGACCGGCTCCTAGAGCTGCGTCTTCTCCCACATGTAAGCAGAGACTTTTGATAAAGCCCCATCAGTTCATGAGAAAGGGAAAACGTGCACGAGGGTGGTGACTCTCGGCAGCCGCAGGGCCATGGGTGAGAGGCTGCCATGGCCCCTGCCTCGCACCTCTGCCCTCCCAGTTCTGTTCCAGGCTCTCCTTCCTGAAGATACGCTCCCTATGAGCGCCCCCGAGTGTGCCCAGCGGAAGGAATGTGGGTTGGCATTTTCCTAACGCTCACTTTGCTGCCTTCCAGCTCAGGAAGTTGTGACACAGAAAACATAGTGGGCTCAGAGACAGACATTTCAGGGAAATTCGTTTTTCCTGGTAAGAACTGTTGCCCTGTTGCTGCAGCTACCGCCCATGGCCCTGCACACAGCTGTTCTTGGCCTCGCCGCCCCTTATGCTGTTCCCCACACTGTTCCCTGCACGCCTCCTCATGCCCCAGACCCTCCCACCCTATCACCAACAAGCCCGGCATCCTTTGGGGGCTGCTCTACTCCTCCTTCTGACTGCTGGCATTATGGGTGGGTTGGGTGCTGGGAGGAGAAAGGATGGATCTGACCCTACACATCCCCACTGGGCAGCCCGCCGACCCCAGGGGTGCCATTCTGCACAGTCTCACCCCTCTCATTCGCTCCCCAGGCAACAGGGAGATCCATGTCATCGACACGGACTACGAGCACTACGCCATCCTGCGGTTGTCCCTCCACTGGCAGGGCAAGGACTTCCACGTGCTCAAGTACTTCAGTAAGCTCGCTGGGGTGGGGGTTGTGCCCTGCTGCCGCCTGCGGGGAGTGGGGAGAGGGGCTGCTCAGTCCCCGGTGCCACACAGCTCGCAGCCTCGAGGACGAGGATGGACCAGGCTTCTGGAGGTTCCGGGAGTTGACAGCAGACACCGGGCTTTACATGGTGGCTCGGCACGGTGAGCCCCAGGTCGTTGGGGTGAGCAGTGGGCTGGGGACCCTGCAGCTGGGGTCGGGGTGCCCGTCCTGCAGCTCCTCACTCTGCCCCCGTTCCACAGGGAGGTGTGCCAAGCTCCTGAAGGAGGTGAGCCTTCGTCCAGTCTGTGCTGAGCCCCACCTGGCTTCCCGGCCTGATCGGGGCCCCGGCTCCTCTAGATCCTGAACCTCCAGGGTGGTGACAACAGGCTGCCAGGGGGGACCCTGGGAGCTGGGTGTAAGGGCAGGGCTGGGCGGAGGGAGCACGGGAAGCCTGGACCTTGGTCCCCCAGTTCCACCCAGCAGGGTGTGCGGGGCTGCTGGAGACTCTGGCCGCTCACATTCTGCCCTGTGGGGCCCTGTGGGCACCGTCTCGAGCCCCCGTGTCCCGTACATGCCAACCCATCACCTGCTCAACCCCTCTGTCTCGACACAGCCGCAGAGATGGGGACTTTCACCTGCTTTGCAGGTAGAGGAAGTGGGCTGTGCTTTGCTCAAAGCCACACAGCAGCTAGGACACCCGGTTCTGGCTGTGGCCCTGACCGCTGCCCTGGGGTCTTCAGGGCGGGCAGCCCCTGAGCCCCTGTCCTTCTGTGTCGCAGGAGCTGGTCTAGAGGGGCTCCCGTCCCAAGCCAGGAAGCTGGGAGCCCCGTCCACCCCGCCTCTCCCGCCCTTGCCCAGGGGCCACCTGCACCAGCTCCAAATAAACCCAGTTCCCAACCCGCTTCCCTGAGTCTTTCCTGGGAGGCCGCCGGGGGACAGGCGGGGGTGGTGGGGTGCCCTAAACCCGACGGCAAACCTGACAATTGGGTGGTCTCTGCTGTCTCCTGTAACAATCGCTGCCGAGTGTGAACCATGTTGGACGCCACGTCTGGTTGGACCTCCCCTGAAGGAGCTGGGTGGGGCCACAAGGTCACATGCAGGGTGACAGCCCCCTGCCCTCTCCCTGCCTCCCCCCAAGGGTTTTCGCTGTCCTGCCCTGCTTACAGCCTGAAGGTCAGGCTGTCCCAAGGCCATGCTCCCTGCTAAGTCTCATCCTGCTCCGGAGAGCCCGAGGTTACCCCTGGCTGGGCCCCGAGCAGAGCTTCCGGTTCAGGTGTCTGGGATAAAAGGTGATCACACCCCACTCCTGCTTACGTTCCCCGGTGGTTCCCTATCGTGCCGACTCAAATCCCATGAGTATTGTTTTCCAAGGCTCAGGTCACGGCTGCTCTCGCAGGCCTCCCCGTCCCTGCCCTGCCACGTGGCCAGCCTGGCCTTACGGAAAGCCCGGTCCCATGATGAGTGCTCTCGCCCAGACCTGCATTCTTGTCCTTTTTCTTCCATCCGTGGAGGCTGGAGTTGGTGGGCAGAAAGGGTGGCCTGGCTTAGGGCAGGGTGACCCAAGCCTCACGCTTGAGGTCATCAGCGCTGGGGGCCAGGGGTGCCAGCCCAGCCAGAGTGGCCTTCCAGGAGTAAGGGCCACCCACGGGTAGGGCCTGCCAGGAACCTGCCTTAACGAATCTTCAGCCAGGTCCCAAACACCACCAGAGAGACGCCTGGGGGCTGAATCCTGACAAGCAGGTGTCCCACAGCTCTGTGTGGCCACAGTTTGTGGCAAGCGAAGGGGCCTGATGGAAAGTGCCCAGTCTGACCACTGATGTCACAGAGCTCCACTGGCTGGGTGACTGAGATGACAGGAAGTTATCTTCTCAAGGTTCTGTAGGCTGTGCGCCCAGGGTTGGGCTGCTGACAGGGCGAGTTTCTGCTGAGGACCCTCTTGGCTTGCAGACACCAGCCCCGCTGTGTCCTCTATGGCTTCTTGTCTGCCATACGTGGAGAGGTCTCTAGCGTCCCCCTTTCCTGTGAGGGCGCAGGTCTACCGGGTTGGGGCTCCACCCTTATGACCTCACTTAACCCCACCACCCACTAAAAGTCCGACTGCAAACACACTGCGGGTGAGGGCTCCAACACGGGAATTCTCAGGGGATATACTTCAGCCAGTGACAGGCGCCAGCGCCGTTTAGAGGGTGATAACGGAACCCAGGGCTTCTACAGTGGCTCGTACTAGGGCCAGCACAGAAGTTACGGGACACATGGAGAAACAGAAAAGTGTGAGCCTTGGTTTCAAAAGAGCAGAGAATGCAAAGGATCCTGAGAGGATCCGGGGCCGCATTTCAGAGACCCGGTGCTTACAGCAGCTCCTACCCTGAAGCGTAGTGAGGCTTCCACTTGGTGAGGCCGGCTGCTCCACGCGGTGGTGGCTATTAGAGCACGAGAGCACACGCCACAGCTTGGATGTCTAGTCCGTCCCCAGAGCTATGCGTCTACGCTTCTGCCGTTGCCCATGTGCCATCCATGCATCATCTGTCAGTCATCTGCCTGTCTGTCTATCTATCTGTCCGTCTGTCTATCTACCTGTCTATCTCTATCATCTATTTACCTATCTGCCAATCTATCTATCTGCCTATCTATAATCTATCTATCTATCTATCTATCTATCTATCTATCTATCTATCTATCTATCTATCATCTATCTATCTATCTCTATTTCTTTGTCTAATAAGGTAAAATTTGACCAACAAAGTTTTTCTGTAAATTTATCCATTTCATTTTGAACTTCAAAGTTATTTGCTTGGAGGTCAGCAAAGTACTTTCTGTTGATGAAAATTTCCACTTCTGTCCCAAATGTCATCCCCTCTCTTGTCATTTCTTACTTCATGTGTTTATGGTCACTTATCTTTTTCTCATTTTTGTTAGCTACTGGTTTGCCTGTTCTGTTAATGTTTCAAAGGATTTTGGTTCATTAAGTACATCTGCTACTTTCTATTCTTTACCTATGATTTTCTGCTTTTATCATTGTTATTCATTTCCTGTGATTTGTTTACATTTTGTTCTTTGTCTAGTTTTAAAAAATTAACTTTATTGAGGCAACACTGGTTATTACATTATATAATTCCAGGTGTAAACATTGTAATATGAAATCTGTCTGTTTTTTTTTTTTTGCATTGGGAATTTATTTTAATTCTTTCATTTTTCATGGTATAAATGTTTAAGGCTCTGACGTTTGTCCTCTGATCACCTTTTTACGGTGGTTTTTTGATATTTATTTTAAATACATTCTGTAATTTCAGTTTGTATTTTTTCTTTCATCCAAGAGTATTTTTTTAAATAGAAAGTGAAAAATTATCATAGTTTTATTGTATTTTTGTCAGAGAAGTTCGTTTGTAATAGTTCTGCTTCATGGATGCTTTCTTTGTAGCTTAAAAAATAATCGATTTTTGTGCGTGTTTTACTGTGTATTATCCAGACGCAGGATGACATGGAAACCGCTGGGCCTGTGGTGGGTGTCCCTGGCACCGTTGTCCTGACCCACGTCAGGTCTGTTCGACCCACTTTTGCTGCAGTGCTGCAGCAGGTCCCTGCGGGCAGCGTATTTCTAATGACTTTGCTTGCTGTATAGTTTGTTGTGGAAACTTGGATGCTAACTTGCTTCCCGCACCCTGAAAGGCATTTGTCATCTGCTTGGAGACCCCGAAGCACTTTGCCGTATCAGTAAAGCCCCATAGTCGGGTTGTTTCCTAAGCACAATCAATTCCCATTTTATTTTCTCTTATTTTTGTTTGTTTCTTATTATTTGAGATGTTCTTTTTCTACCTTCAGTGCATGTAAGTTTCTTTGGAGTGTGTGTCACAGTTTTCTGCTTTCCCGCCCTGCAAGGTTTCCATTCAGTGAAAGGTTTTTATTTTTGTTTTGGTTTCTCCTTATAGTAGTAAAATACAGACTTCTTGAGTCTGTGCATTTCCTGAATGGGGCTTGCAGTTTGAGTGGCTTATAACATTCCTAATTCATGTGCACCCACTAATGTGAGTGCAGTAAATTCTCTTTAATGGATGCCATTTTGGGGTACGGGTGTATGTGTGATGTTTGCTTGTTTTGTCTAGAAAGGCACCCTTAGCCTGTTCTGACACTCTTCCGTCCCAGCAGTGCCGCCTTTCTGAAGCCACCTGAGCCTCCCGGAGCGGGGACGCTGTCTTATCCGGACCCCTTTGCCGGAGTCTTGCAGTCAGAGCAGAGTCCTTCTCCTATGGCTCATTTTAATCCGTCTTTGGTCCTCCTGAACCATCTCCTTTCTGCGGGTTTTGCAGACCTCCGAAACGCTCCACAGAGCTTGAGCAAGACCCTTGGTGGATCTTTGGGCTTTTTATTTACAGATAACGGGAGGTTTCTAAATTTTTCTTCCCTTCTTTCAGAGCCACAGTTTTCAGAGGATTGTGCAGAGACTCAGTTTTAGTAATCATCATTATCTTGGGTTACACAGAAATCCTTCATCTATACTGCTTTTTATAGTTCCCAACTGTGTTATGAAAATTATGCAAATATAGCACAATTTCAAATGTGGCTCTCAGCTCGTTAAGCAGTCGTTTTTGCAGTCTCTGCAGTGGTCTGAATGTTTGTGTCCCCAAAAGTTCAGATGTTGACATCCTAACTCCCAATGTGATGGTCCTGGGAGGCGATGAGAGTGTGAGGGTGGGGCCCCCATGAATGGGATTGGTGCCCCTTCCACCCTGTGAGGACTCGGTGAGAAGTCTGCGACTTAGAAGAGGGCCGTCCCCACCACACTGGCACCCTGCAGGCTGTAAGAAACCAGTGTATGCTGTTTCTGGGCCCCCAGCCGTTGCTGGTGACTGAGCCGTCAGCCTTACAGTCCCAGGACAGGAAGCCCGCATGCGTCTGCGTCTATCGTCTGCTTTTCTGCTGCTTGGCACACGCATCATCTTAAGTCTCTACTCTTGTCAGAAAACTGCACTTGAAAAAACAACAGACAGGGTTAATGTGAAGGTTAGGGTGATGTCTTTGTCTTCCTATTTCCATTGTCTTCTGTTAGGCATCTGGGAGGCTGGTAATCAGGGGCCATCCTGATCCAAGTTCAAGGCCTGAGACTTTCTGGACCCCAGAGGGCGTGGGGAGCTGAGCTGCAAGTCTGTGCAAAACTGGTTTACTTTTGTTCACCTTACCCCCCGGCGGGGCTGCCATGGTGGTGTGTCAGAGACCCCTCCTTGGAAAGCCCTGGCTGAACACGGCTGCACCTTACTTCCACCTTCCAAATCTTGCCCGTTTTTGTGTCAGCAGGCTTGAAGCCAACCAGCCAAGGGGTCTGGGAAATGCGGTTTGTACATCCCCCCCACTCCCGACCCTCCCGACCCTCGGCAAGGACCTTCCTGGCTTACTCCCCTGGGTTTCGGGGGTGCAGTCAGATTCCACTGAGCCCTCTGCCCTCTCCTTTCAGGGGGCCCTGGGGGACATGCAGTCCCCGGATGGCCCTGCCAAGGTCATGGGGAGCAGAGGTGGGAGGTTGGCCAGAGTGGGCAGGTCTGGACAGGCGGAGAGGAGGCTGGAAGAACAGGACATTCCAGGCTGAGATGCTGCTGTGCGTGGGGGCAGGACGCCAAGGCTGGCAGAGCAGAGGGTGGGCGGCCCAGGAGGGAGTGGGAGCTTTTTTTTTTCTTTAATTTTGGGGACACTTTATATTTTTAATGATTGAACAAAAAGATATACAAAGCCACAGCTTCTGAAAGAACGACTTGTTCTTGGCCGTCTCCTGGAACTTGACCTCGGCTGCTGTTGGCCTGGGCTTCAGAGCAGCGAGGAAGAGTGTTGGGCCTCCCTGGGGAGGGGAGGAGACAGGGTTGGGGAGAGTGTGTGGCCGGGGAGGAGGGTGCTTGTTGTGGAATCTTCCGAGTGGAAGGAAGTGTCGAGACGCAGGGGTTAGTAGGGCAGGGCTGGGCACACACTGCCTGCTCTCAGTGCATCTGGGCAGGGCACAGAGGCCACCACTGAATTATAAGCCCCCTCCCTTGGGAAGTTTCGCCACCATGCAAGAAGAGAGGCCAGAATGGTGTCTCGGTGGTTACTGGCCGCCCACAGCAACACAGTCAGAGCCATATAAGTGGGTTTCCAGGGACAGAGGGACTGTACCCCGGCCCCGGGAGTGTGTGCTGGTGTGCAGGCCTCTGGGAGAATGAGGGGTGTGCTGCTGACCATCCTCCTGGCTGGAGTCTCATTGCCCAGGGCCCCGGCTGTGTGGCTGGGGAGGCTGGACCCTAAGCAGGTAGCAGCCCTCCTGTGGGTGCCCGTACCTGCCATGGGGCACGTCGGTCCTGGGGGGCCAAGCCTGTTGGGGCCACACAGCCCAGACTATGTGGGGGTGGGGAGTGGGCTGCCCCGTGGGAGGGGTGCCTGGGCTCCCAGGCTGTGGGGGCCCCTCACCCGCCCCTCTTCTGCCCAGCTTCTGGGGTCCTGGTATGTCCTTGCTGTGGCCTCCGGAGAAAAGGGATTCGCAGCAGAAAAGGCCACAAAGAACATCGAGGGGGTCGTGGTGACCCTCACTCGGGAAAACAGCCTGAAAGTGCGGTCCTCAAGGCACAGGTGAGCAAGGGCCCCGCCCACTGCCAGGCCTCGCTCAGCAGGCGGGCCCAGTCCAGCGAGCCGCCATGGCCACGCAGAGGCTCCGGGTGCCCGCCGTCCCTCCCCTCCCCGCCCGGCTCTGCTCCGAGCTTCACCCTCTGCTGGGCCTCTCGAGTCTGCATGGCATCTTTGAGGCATTTGGGATTTCATCCTGGGGAAGTACGTGAGGTTCCACTTTGTGCTTTTCTAGATTGCTACCCAATTGCCCAGCATCACGGATCCAACTGTCCTCTCTCCTGCCCGACCCAAGACGCTAACCGTCTGCACGAAACATACGTCTTTTGATTTATCTTCTGACTTCCGGCTCTGTTCGTTTCATCAGTCTATTTATTTGCCAAGACCCTGTTGTTTTAACTACCGTAGCTCTCTAATGCGCGTTGTTCATTGCTTGTCTCGCTCTTGCTGGTTCTTCTTCTTGCTAGAGCTTTCCTGTCTCCTCATGACCGTGGGTACGAGCTTGTCCTGGCATGCAGAGACCACGGCACACTTGCTGGGTTTGTGCTTTGCTGCCTTCAGAATGCCGGCCCCGTGGTGTGGTGACTCAGATGAGTCTAACTGGGCTGGGAGCAAGGTTCTGGGTGCCCGGACCCTTCGGGAGGAAGACCCTGGCTGGCCGGGCTTGGGCGGCAGTGCTCCCTCCGGGGCTGCGTCTGGACTCAGGGCTGACAATGGGCCCTTCCCTTTCCCAGGCTGGAGACATGTGACCTGAGCGTTGTGGAGTTGCTGAGACAAAACTCTGGATGGGTGTTTGAGAATCCGTGTAAGAATGACGCCACTGCGGTTGTGTCCAGGACACTGTGGGCGCCGGCTCCATTTCCCTGCTGGCATCGGGCAGCAGCCCTGGGCCCGCGGTCCCCTGCAGGCAGGGCCAGTGCTGGTGGGGAGAGGACGGGCGACTCCGTCCTGAGGCTTCAGTGTAGCTCCGGACCAGGAAGCGAAAGGACCTCATTTTCCCGGAGGTTGACACCAATCCTGAGGCCAGAGGACTCGCCGGCCTGTCACGCTCAGCTGGGACCCCAGGCCTCCCTCTGTAGTGTGTGTGGGTGGGGGGACCCTGGCACTTGGCCCCGGTGGGGAACAGTATCTAGGGAGCATGACCCCAGTTACCCCCATGATGTCACTGTCCATCAGTCACTGAGAGCAATGCATGTGGCATGGGGCGGGCGGGGACGAGGACAGAGCTGGGGGCTATCGGGCTGCTGGGAGGGCCTCTGGGAGATCTGACAACCCCCACGCGCCGGGGCTCTCGCCCCGCAGCCCTGGGCGTGATGGAGTACCGGGTGTTGGGCACCAACTTCAGAGACTACGCCATCGTGTTCACGCAGCTGGAATTGGAGGACGAGGCCTTCAGCACCGTGGAGCTGTACAGTGAGTGTCCGAGGGGTGCCAGGCGTCCGTGCTCTACATGTCGGGGCTACAAAGGGATATGCAGGCTGCAGCCCCCCCCTTTCATCCCCCAGTGAGTCTGCAGCCTCACTCTGCGCCTCACCCCTATATGAAGTTGCCAGCTGGGATCCCCACGCCTTCCTTTCACGGCTTCACCCCCACCGTTCTGCCCCTGAAGAAAGCAGGGCTCTGCACAAAGGGAGGGACGCGGCCCCTGACGCCAGAGCTGGGGGTGGGGGAGGGCCCCACGGGGCGAAGGGCCTTGGGATCAGAGGAGGGCAGAGCCCTTGCCAGCCATCCCTCCAGTCCTGCTGCAGACAGGCCTCCCAGCCCCAGGGCTATCAGGGGCACCCCCTGCCCCCCAGGTCGGACGGAGCGGGCCAGTGAGGCGGGCCTGAGCCTCTTCGCCAAGTGGAGCCAGGGCCTGGGCTTCCTGTCACAGCAGCAGGCCAGGCTGCAGACCGACCGTGAGTGTCCCGGGGCCGCTCAGGGCCATTCCGATGCCCATGGGCACGCGGGGCCAGCAAGGACTGTGTGGCCATGTGCTGACCCGTCAGTCTTGGGGGCCCTCCTGGCCTCAGGGAGTCAGGCAGGACTGGGGGGTCTTCAAGGAGTCACTCACTCCCTGCCCAGAATCAGGCCTGGAGGGACGGCCCCGTGACCAGTGAGGCTGTGGGCGGGCATTGGAAGGGCCTCCGGGTGCCGGGGTGGCTGAGGTCTGTCCCGTGCAGCCCATGGGGGCAGGTGAGATCTGCCACGCCTCACAGCCCATCTCGTCCCCCCTGCAGCCACCTGTGCACGGAAGGCCTTCCAGGTAAGCTGCTTCTGAGTGTCACCCGGGCTCACTGTGCAGCAGTGAGAGCCTAAGGGCCCTGGGAACCCCCACACCCCAGTGGGCAGGAGGGGCCAGTGTCTCCACTGTCAGGAAGGGCTGGAGAGTAGGGGGCAGATGCTTCTTGGGGTGAACCTGGGGTCCCCCAGTGCTCTTCTCGTTTCCAGTGAATTCTGTGGCAGCTGGGGTCCAGCACCCACCTCGCTCAGCTGCCCGGTGCTCCCAGGGGCTCCTGCTGCAGACCCGAATAAAAGCATTCTAGAAGCCCACCCGTGCCTCTCGTGTGTGCCTGGGGCTTGGGTTGTGACGGGGGTGGGTGGGGCTCGGCTGAATCACAGAGCAGAGAGCCAGCTCTGGGACAACGCGGCTCGCCTGCACCTGCGTCCCTTGCCAGAATCCCTCTGGGTCTGGGACACCAGGCCTGGCTCAGAGGTGGGGCTGAGCTGCAGGGAGCACTCCTCGGCAGGCTGGAGGCTGGTCTGCCTGGGCTACAGCCAGGCCCAGTGGTCTGGACGCACTTTGGACAGGGTGCCGAAGAGGCTGGCACTGGTGCCCACCAGGGGTCCTGGCTACGGAGCCCTGGTGTCCAGGGCATGAGAGCTTGGCTTTCCTTAGTTGGGCTCAGGGCAGCGGCAACAGTGGGCCTGAGCCTCTCGGTCCTCCTGTGATCTGGGGTCCCTGCCTGAAGTCCTGGCAGAAGCGGGGCTATCAGGAGAGCTGGGCGGGAGGCTGGTGGGGCCTGCCCACCGGTCACGGTGAGGTGCACACAGGCCTCGCCCTTCAAAGCGAAGTGCGTGCATGTGCAGCCCAGGTCTGCCCGTCGACCTCTGCTCTGGCACCATCAGAGCCCCAGCTGCACGCGGGTATGTCCCAAGCAGTGAGTGACGCCACTCTCCTAGGGGTGAGGATGGGAGGCCCTGGAGCTCGCTGCTGGCCGAGATAGTTCCAGGGCACAAGTGGCGACTCAAGGCCCAGGGGAGTGACCTGGGAAGCAGGATGGCCTGTGTCCTCAGGGCCTCCTAGGCAGGCAGCTCCCCCAAGTGGCTGTGCAGCTCTGTGCTCAGGGGAAGGCCCGAAGCGCCTGCCCTCCCCACTGGCCCACCCCAGGCTGCCTGGAGACTCTGGGTTGGCTGGACGCCCACGGCAGGGCAGGAGGGCAGGGCGATTTAAAGTCGGTGTCCAGTGGCTGAGGGAGAAGGGTGAGGATGGGGCCGAGGCAGCTGCTGCCCGTGCTGGTCCTGGCACTGGTGCTGCCTGTGGGGTCCCAGCTGCAGGGACAGCTCCCCAGGGAGTCCCACAACCTCAACTGGAGCAAGGTCAGCCTGTGTGCAGTCCCTGGGTCAGGGGCCTGGCTGCAGGGCCAGGGGGCAGGGTGGGCAGCTGGGAAAATGTTTCCTGACAGCCTTCAAGTGGCCATTCTGGGTCCATGGGCAGCCCCCAGGGGACAAAAGTGCTCTGCCGGCCCAGAGTCTGCCCACCTGGCCTCTCCCTGAGGGGCTGATGACGGCCTCTTTGGGGGACAGGCTAGGACTGCAAAACTCAGCTGAGGATTAAGTTTTTTGGAGCCCCGGGGTGGGGCAGAGCACAGGGCCCCAAACAGGTGCAGCCTGAGGTTACCTGGAGATGCCAGGCAGGTGGGAGGGGAGGGGGAGAGCAGGGCGTGTCCTGGAATAACAAGATTGCTGGCAGGTGGAAGGTTCTGGTGGGGGTGGCCGTGGGTTCAGGCTAATGGACTGCGGCTGTGCCTGGGAGCACAGGTTTGCAGCAGGATGTTGGTGGGACAGGGTGCAGGGGCAAGCTGGAAGGAAAGGGGTGCCAGGGAGGCCCACACAGGAAGGCCCAGCCGGGCATCTGCTCCCCGCAGCCCTGGCGGTGGGCTGGGCCTCGGGCAAAGGTCGCTGGTTTAGTGGGGTCTCAGGGGCCCTGACAAGAGCCCCAGAAGCTGGCATCAGCGTCCGTGCGCCCCAGCACCCTCTCTGCAGTTTTCAGGGTTCTGGTACATTCTCGCCATCGCCTCCGACGTCCAGGGCTTCTTGCCGGGTAGAGACAAGAGGAAGCTGGGGGCGTCCGTGGTGCAGCTGCGCAGCGTGGGCCAGCTGAAGGTGGTCCTGGCCTTTAACCGGTGAGGGACAGGCACGGGCGTCCCAGCACGCCCGCCACAGGCCGCTGGTCGCAAAGAGGAGAAAGGGCGGGGGCGCAGAGCCCTGGGTCAGTCTGCGAGTCCCACACGGACTGTCTGTACAGCCACGACCCCCATCACTTCCTGCCCCTGAAATTCAGAGGGCTGATTTGGGGAGAGGCCATCGCAGCCCATGGGGCCCTCGGCAGGCAGTGGGCGTTTGGAGGTTTCCTCGAAGCTGTGGGACCAGCCCTTGTCCAAGTTGGAAAGTTCTGGAATAACAGTCTTGCATGGACAGGAGTTGGGGGGTGACGCTTCGAGGGGCCCCCGGCCCCAGCTACCGCCATTGAGTGAGGGCAGGAGGAGGGGGATGGAGAGGGTCATCCTGGGGGCACTGGGTGGCCTTGGGCAGGAAGAGGGGCCCCCTGGCCATGAGTTGGCAGCCCCACCTTGCCCCTCCCAGGTCGCGGGGGTGCCAGTCACACACGTTAATTCTGCGGAAAGATGGGAAGAAGGCTGTGTTCAGGAATACCTGTGCGTATGGGGAAGGCCGAGGGGTGGAGGGTCGATGGGCTCATGGCCACTGAGACATTAGACATGACGTCTGTGATGGCACTGTCCCCCAGGGGTCCCTTTGCCCCAAGAACATGGCGGGCAGGCCGGCTGTGGTCCCAGAGCCTATCCTTCTCAGGGCTCAGGACGGGTGTCGTCCTGGCGCCTGGGCCTGCAGGGTGGGCTCAGGGGAGACCTTCCAGGTACCCCTGTGCAGGCAGGAGGGTCAGGGCAGCTCTGTTTTCTCTTCCTGTCCAGTGAAGGGGGTGGAGGGCTTCCGTGTGCTGTCCACTGACTACAGCTACGGCGTGGTAGATGTGCGCTTGGGACGGGCCGGGCGGACCTCCAAGACCCTGCTGTTCTTCAGTGAGTCCAGTGGGGCTAAGCTCCGGTCCAGGCGTCCTGGGCAGTGAGCGAGGAGGGTGCGGAGTGCAGAGGGCAGGGGGGGCTCTGCCTCAGGCAGCTCGGGCACAGGGACAGACACCACAGGCCATGGCTTACACAGGGACATTATAATTCACAGTTAGGTGCCAGCAGGGTGGGTGTCTGGGGAGGGTCCTCTTCCTGCCTGGCAGGTCCTCGCATGGTGGGGAGACCTCTGGCCTCCTCCTCTTCTAAGGGACCAATCCCACCAACGGCCCCACCCTCAGGCCCTCACCTAAAGATCACCGCCTCCTAATGCCATCACACTGGGGCCTTAGCATACGAAGGGTGGACACGAATGAGCGGCCAGCACATGGTGGTGCAGGCTGGTGGGGAGTGGGTGGTCAGGGTGGGTGGGCAGAGTGTGGGGCCCTGGGCACTGAGGCCGCACAGGCAGTTCTCTGAGGTGGCCACAGCGGGGGTGGGCAGGAGGCCGCTGCCAAGGTGAGGTCAGGAAGCCAGGGGCTGGAGCGGAGCCACCGGCTGCATGGATGCGGAACCCCCACTCCAGGGCTGAGGTGAGATTAGGGGAGCAGGGGAGGTGCTGACAGAGAAGGCTGGATATGGAACCAGGATGGGCAGGTGGGGGGCATGGGGGGGCGGGTGCAGGAGGGGGGCTGAGCAGCCCCGCTGCAGGTGCTGCAGAGGGCAGGGGGGAGCCTGCGGGGGGGTCTCAGTGGCAGGCCCAGCAATGCAGTGGGAGGGCTGCCAGCTGGGCCCCGGCAGAGGGGATTGGGTGAGCAGAGAGGGCTCCCCAAGGACCGTGCCTCCTGGGCCTCGCTGGGGACACCCACCTGCCTGGGAATGGAGAGCACACAAAGTGTCGTCCTGGTTGTCGTCTTGCCCTTAGCAGCACCCTTGTTAATCTGCCTGAGAACTCTGAGGGCATTTCGGTGTCTGGGGGGCGGGGTGGTGGGTGGGAGTGTCAGGGGCAGCCCCAGGCAGCCGGAACTGGAAACTCTGATGTTGAGATTGTGCTCCCCAACGGCAGGCAGACAGAACACGTCCAGCTTCCTGAGTATGAAGAAGTTTGTGGACATATGTGAGATTTTGGAGCTCACAAGGGATGCGACTATTCTCCCAAAAGATGGTAAAATGTGGCTGCACGGCTTTCAGGCAACACCGCGCCTGCCCCGCGTGTCCCATTAGAAAGCTGACACACGTGGGGAAGAGATGGCAGGGTGACGATGCTATCTTTGTAAAGATCTGAAGCCACTGTGCAGACACGCCGGAGTGTCATGCCCTGTCCCCACCTCCTGGCTTTTACTGACATCGGCGCTTGTCACCCGGGCAGGCCCAGCGTGGGCAGCGGGAGGTGGCCCCGGAGCGTGCAGGCTCCATCTGATCAGGCCTCTGGCTGTGGCTAGAGGACCAGGGTGTGCATGGCTTTGCCCTCTGCAGCGCCCCAGATGAGCGCCCGTGAAGCTGGGGAGAGCGGATTCGGGCCCTCTGACAGCATCCCCGACCCTCTCGCCACCTCCTCTCTCTCCCGCAGCCTCCTGCGCACACACCATCCTGCCATGAAAACCAGCCATCTTCCTGCTCTTTCCTTTGGGGCTTGGCTTGTGGTCCCCGAGACCCAGAGAGCATCGTTCCAGATTGTAGGTCTTCACATCCAGCTGCTTGTTGAGAGGTGTTTGGTGGTCCCAGGCCATCGATGGTGTGACACCCAGGGCCATGGCTCTAAGCCTACACCATCATCAAGAGATGGGGGGAGAGGGGCATGTGCTGCCTGGGCAGGAAGAGGCCAAACCAGGCCCCTTCTGCTGAGTCCTCTGGATCACACGGCAGAAAGATGCTGCCATCCCATAGCTGCTGTGAAATAGACCAGGACCAGTCCAGTGTCATCCTTCTCACGTGCCTTCTCTGCAGTGAGTCTCTGCCACCATTCTCTGTGTTCCTGGAACACCTACACTTTCTCGGGAAGTGGCTTGTTCACCAAACATTTATAAGCACCTGTGGTGTGCAAGGCATCGTGCTAGCTGCTGGGGGTGGGGGTGGGGTGGTGAAGCGGTGAGCCAAGCAGGCAAAGCAGCTCTCAGAAGCGATGCCTTGTCAGGAGGGCCAGGCCCAGGAGCAGTCACCAAGCTCACAGCTCCTGACACTGAGAAACAGACCTAGAGGGACCAGCGCCACACAGCAGCAGGCCTGACAGTCTGGGTGGGGGGAGGGTCGGGGAGAGCTTCTTGGAGGACGTGCCATGTGAGCCTGCACGGGTGATGGGAGCCCAGTAAGCTCCGGGGTGGGGCTGGGAGCGCAGGGCCTCCTGGGGGGGAGGAAGCTGCCTTTGAAGAACCCCTTGGGGAGGTGGTGATGGAGCCATTTGAGGGGCGAGGGGATGGACTGGCACAAGCAGGTGGCAGTCACAGGAGAGGGAACGCCAGCAGGGTGTGTGTCTTGGAGTTCCTCTAGGACATCCGGGTGGACATGTCATACAGGGAGCTGGAGTTCAGAGGCGAGGTCCAGGGTGGGGACAGACGTTTTGGAGTCACCGGTATGTACTTGGCCATGGAAGTCACAGACATGGAGGGGCCCACCTGGGGTGGCATCAGCCAGCTCCGACCATGTAGCAAACAGCCGCCACAGCAGCTGCCGTCGTCCTGCCTGGGTCCTTCACATCTCCTGTGGGACACATTGCAAAGCCCTTGGCAAGAGCATGGATGCAGGAAGGGGAGGGGGCTCCCGGCACCAGCCCTCGCCTCGCCATGCCCTTCCCCTCCCTTCTGCGTGCTGGCTGTCTTCACCCCATCTTGCCTCTCAGGTCCCCTGAGTCTCATTTAATGAGGGTGTTGGGCTCAAATCCAGGATCTTGTGGTCCCCACCCCACAGAGGCCCCTCTAGATCACACACCTTGGAACTAAATGGAGAGTTACCAGACCCCCACGTGCTCAGCATCCGTGGAGGGACCACAAATGTGACTGCAACAAATGGTCCTGTCCGAGAGAAGCATGGGGCACACGGAGCAGCCGCAGTCCAGGGCAATTCCACAGCCTGCAGAGACCGCGGGGCTGGGGCTCGCTGCCCTGGCAGGCGTTCCCTGGAGCTTGTGACTTGGGGTGGCCCCCAGCTCCCTGAGATTGCTTTCCTGTTTTCACGTGTTCATCACTTGCTTTGGGCTCTTCTGAAGGAAACACTGGGACATGGCCACGTCCTCAGCCGGTTTCCTGCCTGCAGAAAGTGGTGGCCCCCCAGGCCTTTCTCCACTTTGCACTATCTCAGTGCTTCTGCCAACACACCTCTTTGAAACACTTTGTGCATTTTCTATGTAGTGGATTCTAGCTTAATCTAGGTGCCAAAAGCCACACCCACAGATCCTTAGGGAACAGCCTGTCTCTCCATTTGGTTATTAGAATTCTGGGGTTTTCAGCCTGCTGAGGGAAGGTACCTTGAGAGTCTACATGAGCCCCCTTAATCCTTCACACTGGGTCTGGTTTGTCCCCAGTCTGTGCTTCCACGGCCATGTCCTAGATTGGATCCTAGGCCAAGGCTCAGCCCTTCCATGGGGTTTGCTTTGGAAATGAGAGCCTCTGAGATCCTGGGGGACCCCCGCCCAGTCCCATCCACGTGGAGCCCACTGCTCTGGGCATCCCCATGGGGCCCAGGCACACACATACTCTGACTGCCCAGCTGGGGGTCAGAAGGGGACAGCGCACTGGGGAGGTGACAGGGGAGAGAGGAGAAGGGTTGGGGACAGCTCTGCCATGGCCAGGGACATGCAGTCCTCCGGCAAGATGTCTGGGACTCAGCATGGGGAGGAGAGAGACGCCAGGCTGATGGGCAGGGGCTCCCCAAGGTGCCCAGGGCAGGAGCCTGGGGTCTGAGGTCCTGTCTCCTCCACTCTGGATACCTGGAAGGAGGAGGAGACCTCCTTAGTGTGGAGGGGGCCTTATAGAGAAGTTGGGGTACATAGATGGTGTGACACCGAGGGTCCCACAGGCTCCTAGAAGAGTCTGTGACCCTGGTTCTCCATCATGACCCACTGCTCTCCCAGTCCTTGGAAAATGCGTTCTGCTCCCTCAAGGTCCTTCTGAGCAGAGGGCAGCCTGCGGGGGTTGTGGGTCTTGGGTCCTGGGTAGTGCAGAACGTGACAGGGCACTGAACCAGTCGTCTGGGGACCAGGGACACTGTTCCCAGGTATGTCCAGCGCTGGCTTCTCTTGTCCTGGTTGCAGCATAAATGTCACCATGCAGGCCTCGTGGACCGCACCTAGGACCCAGCCCTCCTTCTAGCACCTGCTTCATTTTCCTAGAGCACCCTGCCTGGTTGGGTTTGGGGCCTGGGGCCATCCTTGTTGGAGCTTTGGGGTCCTCCTCTGGACGTGGGTCCAGAGTTATGCCCTGGCCGGGGTGAGGAGGCTTTGTGAATGAACTGGACACCAGGACAGTGGAGGGAAAGAGGGGCCTGAGAGAGGCTTCTGAGGTTCCTGACAGCCCCCCTGGAGCCCGCAGGTCCTGTTCCTTTGACCTTCTGGCACCAGGGAGAGCTGCTGCCTTGACTACATCCAAACAAAGGTGTGTGTTTTGTTTCTGGTTTCCCTGCCTGGGGCTGCAGTGCTGGGGATGACCACGAGGGGGCGGACTGTGTCCACCGTGCTCAATGGAGCAACTGGAGCAGAAAAGGGGCGCCCAGGGGTCATTCTAGGTGTCTCCTGGCCTCCAACCAACATGCACATTTACTGTTAGCCCCCACTTCCACAATGTGAGTCACTCAGAGGCGGGAGGGACTCTGAGACCCTCCCCTCATTCATTCAGCTGCTGTGCCCCCTGCACCCACCCTGAGCAGGGGCCCTGCTAGGCCTGGGGGAGGTGCTGAAAGGACCCACGTGGTCCCTGCCCTCCAGGAGCTCACAGCCTGGGGCAGGTGAAAGCAAATGCAGGTGGGAGAGAAGGGCAGGTGCTGTAGGGAAATGAAGCAGGTGCGGGAGGGAGGGAGGGCCTCTAGGTGGGGTCCACGAGGCCTGCATGGTGACACTATGCTGTGATCAGGACAAGAGGAGCCAGCTCTGCACACGTCTGGAGAGTGTGTGTGGGTGGCGGTAGTGGGAGCGGGGGAGTAGCTCAAGGTGCAGAGACTCAGAGGCAGATGAGAATTCAGCCGGTGGCTGGAAAGAGCTGGGGAGAAGGGAGGGAGGGAACCCGGAGGGCAGGGTCAGACCGGGCCTGGAGGGATGCGCAGGCTGTGTCTGCTGTGACGGCGTTGCCCTGACTCAGCACTTACAAGACCAGACGCTGAGCGCCTCACAGTCACTGTGACCAGGATCGTTCTCGGCTCAGCTGGGAGCCGCTGCTTTAGGTCTCCCGGGAGGCTGGGGCTGTGGTCTCAACTGAGGCTCGCCTGGGGCGGGGGGAGGGGGGTCTGTCTCTGAAATCAATCACGGGTTATTAGCAGGGTTCAGTTTGACTGGGGGTTGGGGGGCTCTCAGGTCTTTCCTGTCTGTGGGCCGGGACTCTCTTGGTAATCACACTGGGGCCCAACAGGGCAGCTCATAATATCTGATCTTGCTTCTCCAAAACATGGGATCAGAGAGACAGAGGGACAGAGACAGAGGGACACAGAGGACAAAGAGACATAGACAGGGAGACACAGAGATGAAGGAACACAGGAGAGAGGGAACCAGTAGAAGTCACAGACTTTTCATAAACCCACCTTGGAATGACACCCCATCGTTTTGTCTTATTCTATTCATTGGAACCCAGTCAGAAAGTGCATCCAGCCCCGAGGGGAGGGGATCACTCAGGGATGTGGGGCAGGAGGCGGGGAGCTGGGGGCCCTTGTGGGGCTGCCCCCAACATAGGTCGAGATGAGGCGCTCGGCCCTGGGAGCCCTGGAAGGCCGTATGCCAGAGGGGACGCTGCTGGACTTTCAGGTAATTTCCACACTCCTGGGGTCCCTGGACAAAGGCAGGAGGGGAAGCGAGTTTCCCGGGGTCCCAGAGCAGACCCAGGTTGTGTGCCGCCATGTTCTGTGCCCCACCAGCCAGCCTCGTGGGGTCCCCCCACCGCGACATCTATGAGCGAATCCACGTGCTCCCAGCCCAGGGGTCACAGGCTCTGCAGGTGTTTATAGGTCCATACCCCCAATGACACCCTAGAAAGCAGATGCTAGAAGGTCCCCAATGTGCAGATTGGAGGCTGAGGAGCTGAGAGGACATGGCGTGTCCAGGGTCACACCACGGGTGAGAGGGAGCTGGGTCTGCCCAGCCGTGTCCTCAGAGCTGAGGCCTGGGCCCCCCGGGGGCTGGGGCTGGGCCGTGTGGGTGGAACTCTGTATGGTGTGGGGAGCTCTTGTCTGAGGAGGAAGCCCAGGTAGGGGTCCCCAGGCAGTGACCTCAGTTCCTGTCATAGAGCCCAGCAGAGCTTGGAACCCTAGTAACCAGTCAGCCACATCCTAGAGAAGCCTGTACCCAGCTCACTTGGCTGGAGACATTCGAGAGAGCGACATGTTCGCTTGCCGTGTCCCCATGTCCTGAGGCTGTGGCCTCAGGAAAGCCAGCAGTGACATCCCCTTCAGACACTGCACATGTTGGGTCAGATCTCACCCCAGACGC